AGTCAGAATGGTGGCTGATCTACTTCCTCACTAGCATAGCCCTGGCTTTTTATCCAGCCTGGCCAAACATTTCTCTGCACGGACCAGCTTCCTTGCTGCAAAATTTGGCCAGTGGGTAGAAACAACTTTAGCTCCCACTCCTGAGGTCCATGCTGTTTTAAACCATGGTGCCGGAACTGTAGTTAGGAGATGATAAAGAAAACCACAGGCCAGGTGTTAACCAGGTGAAATGAGGGGGAGGGCTCCAGGCAAAACAACGAAGGGAGAACTGGGGATTACAGAAAAATTTAGAACGGCAGCTTTCCTCAGAGAGCATGTGGAAATCAAGGCCCAGAGAATTTAAGTGGTGGGTTCAGAGTTACTCAGCTGGGACAGAGCTCCTGACAGCTTGCCCACAAATAAATTCTGTTTATCACTCACAACTAAGGCTCCCCAAACAAAAATTATTGCCTAATATGTCCCTGGTTGCCTAGAAAGGTAGATCACAGCTAAAAATGCCTATTGCTGAGAGAACTGGTTCGTCCTGGCCACACCACCCCCAGTCAATCTTTCTGACCAGCGCCAGGGGAATCTTATTAGGGACTCTATGCAAATGGAATCAAGTATTGCTGCTTCTCTGGATTGAAAAATGGCTCGGCGTCTTCGCCACCCTTTAGCATTTGCACAGGCTAGTTAATCATGTCACCTCTGCTCCACCCCAGGGTAGGAGCCAAGTGTTCTGTTGGTGGATTCGTGATATTTCTAATCAAAAGGAAAGGTTTAACTGCCGCTGTAGAATAAACACACACACACACACACACACACAGATTACAAAAACACTTCCTCTTTGTACTTTGCAGCGAAAATTATTTTCCTGATATGATATTTTAACACCAGGGTTAGCGAGTATGTTTTATCTGCTTTTCTGGATTAAAGGTATCTTCGAGCCTGATTTATAGCCAGGTGAAATAAATTTCTATCTCAGAGGAAAAGGTCCAAAGGCAAGCTATTTCTGAATAATATATGTGGCTTGTAGCTGCTGCAGAAGAAAACAATAATACTGAAGTGACTTCATTAAAGCATACTTTCCATAACTACATTTTGAACAATGTAAGTCATAAAGTTGAAATATGAGTATGCTACTCACCATTAAAATGCTTTGTAATATGCTTGTGAAAAAAGCTAAAGTCGCGGGTTAAAAGGGCAGGCACTCTTTGTAAATTAAAGAGAGAGATGCACACATATACATCATGTGAAATCTGAGATCTATTTCAAGCACGGCTTTGATGGGCTTCAAACCTGGACTCCTTAATTCTCAGATCATCAGCACTCTTGGGCAACTGTGAGAAGCAGAGTGCAAGACCAATCTTCTCTGCATCTTTTCCTCCAGATAACACATTTAGAGAGAAATTAGACTGACCCCCCCTGCCTGCCTCCTCCTGTCTCTCATGGGCATCTCCAAATTTCCTAGCCAGTGGAGGCAGACTGGAGACCCTGGGGTGCCTCCCTGCTCCCTCTGCATGATTTTCGCTCCCCACTCATACTCTAGGACTCACTGCTGGGATGGGGGCAGGGGGAGGTGGGGCCAATACAAGCTAGGAGAGAAGGGGCTCTCTCTCTCCTAGGGGAAGTGGCTAGGAAGGGGCTGAACTTATCTTCACTGGGGCTTTTCTACCTGCCACACTCCCAGTACTTTCCCTGTTTAAAAGTCCAATCAGGGACGCCTGGGTGGCTCAGTGGGTTAAGCATCTGCTTTAGGCTCAGGTCATGATCCCAGGGTCCTGGGATCGAGTCCCACGTTGGGCTCTCTGCTCAGCGGGGAGCCTGCTTCTCCCTCTGCCTGCCGCTCCCCCAGCTTGTGTTCCCTCTCTCTGACAAATAAATAAATAAAATCTTAAAAAAAAAAAAAGTCCAACCAGATACCATGTGGTTCAAGTAAAGACTTTGGCAATGTGTATAACTTCTTTGACCTGCAGGCACTAGCAGAAATCCAAATTTTGTGAATATAACTCCTTGGGTCATCAGACATTTTTTCTTTCTCTCTCCCTCTCCTTCATTTGCTAACTAATTTCCACCCAGGCACTCTGATTGACTCTTGCAATGTTTCTGAGGGTCCTGACTGTCTATCATCCCGACACAACTTGCTCAGAATGAAGCTCCTTCTCCCCTACCCCCATGCTTAGTACCTGCTCCTAGAACAGTGCTGTGGAAAGAGCTTGGGTGGTAGAAGCAGGCAGACCGGGTGTCTGTCTGAGCAACATTATTTCCCAGCCACAGGTGACCCCGGGGAGGTCCTTTCACTTCTCTGGGCTTCCGATTCCTCATCCTGAGAAATGGAAAACATCCCTTCCATCTTAATCCCTGACTATGCCCTGAGCTCTAGATCTTGTATCAACATGCCACTTTTAATACTCCACCGGGATGTGTAATGGGCATCTGAAATCAAAACATGCAAAACAGAAGTCTTAGTGCATTCCACCCCACCCAGCACCTCTCTCCAAACTCACTCTTCCCCATATCTTCCCTATTTCAGCCTATGGGATCACCGTCTTCCCAGTTGTTTAGCCCTAAACCTGGGGCTGTCTTCATTTCCTCCATATCCTCTGGTTTCATATTCTTCTGCAAGCCCTGTTGGCTTTATCTCCAAAATACTTGTTGAACCTGTACTCTCTTCTCCAGGTCCCTGGGCACTACCAGCCCAAGCCACCACCACTTCTTGCCTGAACAACACAACAGCCTCCTAGGATGGGCCTCCCTGCTTCTAGTCTTGCCTTCCAATGATTCATTCTCTACACTGTAGCCGTAGTTATCCTTAAAGAACATAAATAAGCTAGATTGTCTTCCATCATAAATGGCTGACTTTCCCCTTGTTTACCACTTCCAACACACCAGCCTTTGTGTTTCTTGAACACACCCAGAACTTTTGCATTTGCTGTCTCCTGTACCTGTGACTCCACTTCTTGACATTCAAGCCTTGGTTCGCTTGTCACCTCCTCAAACAGCCTTCTCTGACCACCCAACGCTCTTCACTCAAGAGGCCCTTTTTCTTTTCTTTAAAGCACTTACCACTATCTTAAACTATTTACTTTCTCTCGCTGCCACCTGCATGTACACTCCAAGAGGACAAGGGACTTGTCACGTCGTTGACCACCATGTTGCCAGTGCCTAGAACAGTTCTTGGCATGTCAGAGGTGCTCAACGCGTGTGTTGAAATTGAATAAATTAAATGAAATAATGTATATAAAGTTCTGGCAAGATGCTTACCATGGCTTGATAACGCTTATCGTGGCATGTGCTCACCTCTGAAGCTGGACTGTGGCTCTTAAACAGTCAGGACAGGATTTGGAACATTGTGGGTATTCAGGAAACCTTTCCTGGCAGAGACCATTCAGGGGGGAGCTGGCTGACTTCAGCCTCTAAGCCTACCTCCTTTCTGGTAGAATTTTCCAGAGACCCACTAGGACTTTTTGCAGCGGCCTCTGCTCTTTTAAATCTGTGCACGTTCATTTAAATGAAAAGATGTTCTTCATAGAAAATGGCCCCCCACCTTCTTCTCTAAATAAAGAAAAGAATTGGATCTTCCCTAATATTTACAATTTGTGGACTAAAGAATTCCTAGATTTCTAAATTGAACATTAACTGAGCAGTTTTAGGACACACACCTTCCATTATATGTCCACATCTTCACTGATTAAAGTTACATGATGGTGTTTCATTTTCTAGGTTCCTTCCCTGCCCTGTCCCCACCCAGTCACCAAATCTAGTCTATTTTCCACTCCAGACTTCACCCTGTCCACCTTCTTGGCACTGCTCTTACCATCTTCCCAGGGCCATCGCAACAAGCTCTTCACTTCTCTGACAGTCCCTGCAGATCTATTCACCCCTGGCTGTCAGAGTGAGCATTGGTGGCTTCTCTCTCCTCTGCAGACCCTTCCTCTCCTTGTAGGGTTAAGTCCACACGTGGTGGCACACCACTTTCAAGATCTGACCTGTCACCTTTCTGACTCTCTTTCATCTCCTCCTTGCACTTCACTTCCTGGCAATACAACTTGTTCTGTTCACTCTGCCCAACACCACATTCTTACTGGCCTGGCCTTTGCACATGCCTGCAGAGTCATGCCTGACTCCACTTCTGTGTGGAGCAATTCCCTCTATCCTTCAAAACCCCACTGAGCACTTAGGAAGCCTTCAGTGACCTGTGTACAGTAGCCCCCTCCACCACCCCACACCTACATCTTGTTCCTGTTGTTCTATTGCTATGGACCCAAGGGATGGAATCACCCACTGTCCTATGGGTAACAGATTGCATTTACTTAAAAGGCTGCAACAATACTTCTCATCCTACCTGCTATTTGAACCATGTGACTTTGACATTCCTCTCACTGAGAGATGGGGTCTCTGTACCCTTCCCTTGAATGTAGGTGAGCTCATGACTCCTTCAACCCAATAGAATACACTGGAAGTGATGCTGTATGATTTCTGAGCCTGGGTCATAAAAGGCCATTCAGCTTCTGCCTCCTCTCTCTTTGGACACAGCAAGCATGCTGTGAGGAAACCCAGGCCAGAAAATTCCTATCTGGCAGATGACGAAACTGGTTCTAGAAGGTTAAAAAATTGGTCAAGGTTAGAGAGCAAGCCTTAACTGGGCTGCCCCTCTGGTTTGGTTTCCTCACCTGTATGATCTTGTTCAAAATTATACTTCTGAGCTAAGCTCCAGACCATCTTTCCATGTATAGAATCAGTTTTCCATTCTATTGTCCACTCGGGGTGCTAAACTACTCAGCACAGCAGGACTGGGGCTCTGGTAGGAGGATTTGTGCCTTTACTATTATTCCCAACTTACAGATGAGGAATCTGAGCTTCAGAGAATTTGTATGATTTACCTATTATTACATAGCTAGCAAATAAGGAGCAAGGCTTGCACACAGATCTGTTGAACTCCATAGTGGCACTGTCTGGAGGGCTCGACCACAGTTCTCCCAAAGTTCCCCTCCTTCCCTCACCCCTCATCTCCCCCTTACCTAGGGCCTTCATGTAGCCTTCAAAGTTGTCATTACTCTCCATCTCCCAGGTTCCATTCTGGTCCCTCGTCATGGTGATAGCCTCTGGTTCAGTGTGGGTGAGTGTTGAATGTCAAGGAGGCTGCGGGGAGAACATGTTGAAATGAGCTACTTTTATAGTACAGTGGACCAGGTTTATGGCTTTGAGATAACAGTTTCAAAGGTTATAAGCCCAACCCCCAAAAAACTTTCCTTTGCAAAGTTCAGCAGGACTATGAGCAACCCGCACTCAAAGTCCAACATGGCCAGCATGGGTGTCCCAGTGATCTCTTCCACATGCAGGGCCTCAGAGCCGCAACTTTTTGGCTGGCTGGGTTCCCACAGAGCCCTTGGCCCCACAGTGAACACTCTGTCCTGCACTTGAGGAAAATCAATACCTAGTGCTCACCCCACACTGGGCAGAGCCCAATCTACTAAAAGCAAGCCATATCTGGAAGGAGGCCAGATGGGAGACAAAGGGGCAGTGGGACTCTGCTTCAAGACCCCAGGAGCAAGCTGAGGATCACCTTGACCAGAGTGGGGGGCATAGCTTGCATTTGGACAAAGACTCTTGGTTCAGGCTGTTCCCCAAATTAGCTGTCCCAGTGGGTCAGAAAATGGGCTGGATTACTGCTCTGATGCATAGTTCTGAGAGATGAGGCCTGAGTAGGGGCCACTATACTCTAAAGCATAGAGGTGTGGGCTGAGATGGATAAACTATGAGTCCCCAAAGGTGAGGCCAATTTTGATTATGGCACTTTGGAGCTCTAATATATGTATTCATATGTTGTGAAATCTAAGCAAATGGTTCTGTCTGTGTGTGGTTTGGGGGATGTAAAGTAGCACATTCTATTTTTTAGTAAATGTACTGGAGTCAGGAAGACACACAGTAAAAAATGGCCCACCTGCTATCAAAAAACCAGTGTGGGATAAAGGGAAGAGTAAAGGACAACTTCCCACAAAGAGAAAATGAGTGAAGGCAGAAGAAATGGACAGATGAGAAGCATTAGGCTTCATTATTTGATGTCCAGCTAGAAGCTGCTGCAAACTGAGCATTTAGCCTCCTGGTTTGGGAAGGTAGGCATTTGGGGCACCTGGGTGGCTCAGTCATTAAGCGTCTGCCTTCAGCTCACGTCATGATCCCAGGGTCCTGGGATAGAGCCCCGCATCAGGCTCCCTGCTCAGCGGGAAGCCTGCTTCTCCCTCTCCTACTCGCCTTGCTTGTGTTACCTCTCTTGCTGTGTCTTTGTCTGTCAAATAAATAAATAAAATCTTAAAAAAAAAAAAAAGAAAGGTAGGCAATTCAGATTCAAGGACTTCCACATAGCCCCTCCTACTCCCAACGGAGTCTCCCATAGGCCTCCTTTGCAAGAGAATAATAAAAAGCTGACATGATGGGGGAGATCGTTGGGGGCAAAAATGGGGTTGTTAATTTCAATAAGCAAGAGACTTGAATTTTAATGGGTGGGTGGGGGCATTCACCCTGTGTCAGGCAGGAAGTTGAAACTAAGATGCTTGCATAAAACCAAAACACTGGACAGACTACTCTGTCAGTGAGAGTGTGAAATACCCAAATCTGCCCAGAGACAATATGAAAGTTTGTCTATTTGGCCTGGGATCTATGTGAGTTAAAAAGAAGTTTTGCCCTGCTCTGCCTCTGCCTCTGGTTTGAGCTTATGCTTCCTGCTAGTCAATGTATTAAATATATGGAGTCCTGGGCACCTGGGTGGCTCAGTCAGTTAAGCGTCTGCCTTCAGCTCAGGTCATGATCTCAGGGTCCTGAGATTGAGCCCCACATTGGGCTCCCTGCTCAGTTGGGAGTCTGCTTCTCCCTCTCCCTCTGCCTGTCTCCACCTACCCCCACTTGTGTACTCTCTCTCTCTCTCTCTCTGAAATAAATAAATAAATCTTTATAATTAATTAATTAATTAATTAATTAATTAATTAACTGGAGTCCTGAACTTGCAAAACGTATAGGCTTCCAGAAAGAAGTAAATGTGAAAACTGTCTAGAGGGACAGACCAGGCCAACCAGGCCAACCAGAATTTCCTGTGATAAAGTCAGCTAAATGTGAGCTCATCCAAAATTGTAAAACACACATGAAAATTCACAAAAAAGCAACATCAGCAGAAATATACAAACTAGACTTTTAAGAGCCTCAGATGATAAAGATGGTCAGTAACAAACTATAAAATAAGTATGTTTAGAATGAGCAAAAAAATTTAAAAGCACTTAAACACATTAAAAAGGATTAAATGACATTTAAAAAAAATAGACTGAAAAATAACCAGAGAGTAGTCATAGAAATTTAAAAATATAGTCATTAAAATGTAAAAGGTAATAGGTGGGTTAAATAGTGATTAAACACAGCTGAAGAGAGACTGAGTAAACTGGATGATAGAGCTGAGGAAATTATTTTGAATGTATGTAACACAGAACACACTGGTGGAAATTTAGAACATCAAAATAAAAATGAAATTCTAAAATATTCCAGAGAAAACAAAAACCATAGATTACCTATAAATAAACAATGCAATAATCAGATTGATATCAGACTTTTCAACAGTTCTGATGGAAGGCAACAATAGAACAATATCTTGCAATGATGAGGGGAAAGACTTTTGACCAAGAATTCTAAACACAACAAACTTCATTAACATATGAGGGTTTTAAAAACTAAAATACTTTCAGATATAATAGCCCCAGACTGGAAATAACCCAAACATTCATTGACACATTAACAGATAAACAAATTGTAGCATGTTCACACAATAGAATACTACTCCACTGTAAAAAGGAACATAATGACATGAATGAATCTCATAGATATTATGCTGAGGGAAAGAAACTTGACACAAAAGATCATAAACTGCATGGTTCCATTCATAGGAAACTCCAGAAAAAAAAATCTACAGTGATATAAAATAGATCAATGATTTTGTGAGTACAGGAAGAAAAGGTGAGATAGGAAAGGGCACAAGGGAAATTTCTTGGGGAGGTAGGATGGAAATGTTCTATAGTTCAGGTGTTATGGAACCTGGACTGGATCACCTGATGGAAGAACCAAGCAGCACCTGGAGATCTTGGAGGATAGGAGGTTTACTTAACACTGGCGGGCTCAGAGAAGAGTGATCTCCAAAGGTCTGAGCCCCAAACTCAAACAAAGGGGGCAATTTATACACTTCTGCTTCCACATATGTGGCACTTTTGGTGTGTGCGCAAAGCGGGGCAGGGAGAAGAACCTGGATTGGTGCATGTGGGAAGCAGAGCAGGGAGAATAACCCAGAAGAGCCCTGGGGCAAGGACTGGGACTCTCTTGCTGGCTTGGTCGGCCATCTTAGGACACAGATTTTCCTTATCGCAGGTGGTAGCTGTATGACAATTGTTAAAACTAAAACTCTACAATTGATATCTGTTCCTTTTAATTTATATAAATTAAATTTTAATAAAAAATTAATGAAATCATTTTTATTCATGCATTCATTCATGATGGTTTTGGAAAAAAATTAGTAGCAACCCAAACTAAAATCCCATATTATACCTGCATGGGAAATTACCTGATTTACATGAAGCAAATGTGTGATAAAGAGGCTGTAATTATTGATTGACTAGATGTTTGTAAGAAATATAAGTTTAAATATTACCTGAAAAACAAGAGGAACCTCTTGAGCAGTGGTTCTCAAATCCTAGCAAGTGTCAGATTTACCTGTAGGGCTAACTAAAACACAGATTGTTGAGGGGAGGCAGGAAGATGTCAGGGGAGGATCCTGAGCTCAGCTTGTCCCATGGGCACACAGAGCTAACAGCTACATCTATACAAATAACTCTGAAAATAACTTGAACTCTGGCAGAACAGACCTTTCACAGTTAATCTTAGAGAGAAGGCCATGTTGAAAAGGTGGGAAAGGTAGAGAAGCAGTTGGGAACAAAACTCTTCCTGTGAGACTAACCACAAGTGGGAAGGACATCACAAACACAGAGAAATGAGAGGGTCAGACCCAGTACCAGGCACCCCTGGCACTAGGGACCTACATTGGGAAATTGAGTCCCCATAACATCTGGCTTTGAAAACCTGCAGAGCTTAATTTCAGGAACTTAAAAAATCAGTGGGCTTAACTCTGGGAGAATTGGAGGGTGAGAGGAAACTGAGTTCCTTCCATTAAAAAGCCAGCATAATAAATAACTCAGCCCAAGACACAGCACAGAAAAAGCAGTTTGAAAAGTGGCTGGGGTAGTCATGATTTATTGACTATTCTTAGAACGTGTGCTGGAGAGGCAGGGACTTTCAGGAGGTATCTCTAAGAAGAAAAGAATTTCTCTTCCCTTCTTCCAGCCTAGATAGCCTGGTGTTTGTGGAAGCTAGCACTAATACTCTCTATCTACCTCACTAGCACCATGAGCCCTGGTCCTGTGCTCCCCTGCAGAACCTACCTTATTCAAACTGATAGCCTCTGCAGGCATCCCTCCAAAGCAGCTCCTGCCCTGTGATACTCTAGAGGTAGCTCTGGACAAGAATGGTGCCACTCCAAACTGACTCCTGCCCTGGGGAGGGAGGAAAATAACACTACACACCAGCATTGCAGTATAGCAGATGGGCCTATTACCTCACTGCCCAGAGAGCAAGCCCTGACCTTTGGTATGCCTGCAGATGTGGCAAAGAGGCTAAGTGCAAACAGTTAATCTGACTGCCAGCCCCACCCACCAAGAAGTCCTCAGTGACATCAGACAGACCTCTCAACAGCACAGGGACCAAACCCTACCCAGTGTGCCCATAGCAGGCAAAGCAGGTTATTGCAGCCAGTTGGGCTGAAGGCAACTGTGGCTCAGTCACAACAGGAGGGTGCATGCAGCCCACACAGGGGATACCCCTGGAGTGCCTGGTGCTGGTGACCAGAGGGGATAGCATTATAGGGCACCACAAGAATTCTTCTTCACAAGGCCACTAATTTCAAGACCAGGAGCTGTAGCTGACCTACATAAGACATAGAAACAAACACAGAGAGACAAAATGAGTTGACAGAGGAATATGTCCCAAATGAAAGAACAAGACAAAATCACAGTAAAAGAACTAAATGAGACAACATAAGCAATATGCTTGATAAAGAATTGAAAGTAATAGTTATAAAGATACTTACTGAACCTGACAGAAAAGTAGATGAGCTCAGTGAGAA